CCCCCCCCCCCCCCCGCAGATAAAAAGGCTTGTTTTCAAAGTAATCAGGGTTCTTACAAAGAAAAAAACCTGCTGCTGTCTCTTGATCTTTCTGCTTTTTTAAACAAGCAGTGCTGTGGCTTGTCACAAATCAGTTTGGTCTGAGGAATGACATGCTCTTTTTAGTTTTGTTTGAAGCACCTCTTGAAAGAAAAGGAAGTGCAGATTTGATATTTCAGTATCTCTAAACTTACCTGGCCATGTAAATACTGGATGGAATTTATCCATTGTCTGAATAGAAGAATATACTAATCCTGCTAAGTATGGGAGAAAGAGGAGGAACGAATTAATGACTTCCAAACTGTGATCTGGGAAGAAGAGCCTGTGTTACATTTTGTTTATTTTCAGAGCTTCAGAGGTCTACTTAAGCAACTGAAAACAAAAGTAGTTTTCTATCTATTTGTGCCAGATGCCGCATAGATAAGACAGCTTAGTAAGGCAAGATATAGGTAGTCACCTAACTTGTTTCTAGTTTACTGGGGGGATTTTATACAAAAAGATAAGTTAGGTAAGAGCTGCATGAAACATGACTTTTTTTTTTAATATGGGTGGAGAAATTACTTATTTTTTTCTGTTTCTAAACTTCCTTTTGGGAAGTGGCACTGTGCCAAGTGTTCTGCTCCTAAAGCAAAACAGCTGTTGGCTGTTCCTAGAAGGTAATTTTTTTTGTGTGTGTGTGATTCCAGCCAGGTCTTGTTATAGTGTGCTTTTAAAGAGCATAAATATTTCTCTAACTATCCACCTGATTAGTGCAGAGCAACAAACTAGAATTAAAACTTTTTTTTTTTTTTTTTTTTTTGTAAAATAGGCATGTTTGCTTTGGATGGGTTCTTTAATGTGTTATGGAGATGGACAGGTGTTGGGAAGCTGATGCCTTGAAGCTGGAGAACTAATGAGCAGCTGTGTGGGAGGGAGGATAAAAGATACAACACATCTTGAGAATGTATCTCTATGTTCTGATGAATGATGACTTGCTATTAGGAATAAGGAATATAAGTCTATGACTGAATTTAATAGTCAAGTTTGATATATTGGTTGTCTTGTCTGTTTTATTTTTGTGCTTTGTTTTCATTGTTTTTCTATTAAAATTAAAAACTACACTGAAGAGACTGTAAAATAATATGTTGTGGACAGAAATATGAATATAAGCTTCTAAGTAGAGCCATGTTTGCTTTTTTTTTTTTTTCTTTTTTTTCAGTTAACCATTCTATGTCTTTGTTATGATGATATAGATTAAACTTTAGGAGAAAAAAACCCCATCCGTTTCATCACAAAATCCTTAAGACTACAAAAATGTTAGTGGTAAAGGGAATAAATGCAGGGATAAGAGGGGATCAAACAAGGCATGGAGGAATTTTTTTCCATCCTGTTAAATTTTAAGTCCAAAATACGGCTATTGAATTTGAAGTTGATCATTTAGAAAGAAAACATTAGGCTACCTGAATTTTAAGGATTGACTAGATGGAGCAAATACTCAATTTCCAGTTGTAGTGAGAAGGAAGTTTTGAAGAGCATGTGTCTAAACATGTACGTAAGCTTAAATCACAAGAAATGCGTGGGAAATACTGTCCACAGAACTAATACAGCACCAGGATCTGGAGTGTATGGTTCCTGGTTCTAGAGTGTGACATGTTAGTGCTTCAACTGTTGTATTTAATTTGTCACAGTTCAAGTAATGGATCTTATTCCGTAAAATATCTGTGTTCATACATTCACTTTCCTCTGGAGATTTGTAAAAAGGGAGTTGTAGGTAACTGGAAGAGGAGCAGGAACTTGTTTTTTTTGAAGGAGGCGAGAATGGAGGTTCTGGGAATGGTGAAATGCTAGTGAAGGGTAACGGAAGCTATGAAAAATGGTTATTTTTGTAATTAACATGGAACAAAGCCAAGTTGCTCCTGCTCTGTGCTAGTTAAGGCTGTAGAATGAATAGCAAAAAAGAAATGTTACCAGGTTTATAATCACTGAGGTTTGTGGATTTTGAAAATTTACCTTTCCTCTCTCTGTTTTTAGAGAAGATATGTATGCCCAGGACTCTATTGAGCTGTTGACGACGTCTGGTATCCAGTTTAAAAAGCATGAAGAAGAAGGAATTGAGACACAGTACTTTGCAGAACTGCTTATGACATCAGGAGTTGTACTGTGTGAAGGAGTCAAGTGGCTTTCCTTTCATAGGTAAATTCTGCATGTTAAGTATTTGAGTTTTCAATATTGATTATTGAATTCTAGAGCTTGGATTTCACATCTTGTGTTAAGTGGTGTACATCTGATAGTGTATATAGCACATATCTTGGTTGATAAGACTTAGAAAACTATTTCTGCTGTAATACCTGTAGCACCATTCTGTATTAGAAGACTAGAGCATACAGGGTGGTACTGGTGTTTTATTTTTGGTGTTTATACTGTAACTAGAAAACTGTAAACCAGAAAAACATGAAACTCCTAAGCCAGCAGGTGGCATTGTATCTTCTTAATATCACATGTGCAAGTAATAATTGTAACAATGATAAAAGCAAGCTACTCCTAAGCTATTCTTGAGCAAATGGGAGAGACTGCAGAATTATAAGTGAAGAGCTTTGTAAAACACTTTTAAGTTTGTTTTGAATCTTCTGGTAATCTGGGCATCTGAAAGTTACTCAGCTTGGAAGGAGAGCCCTGATAAGCCTTAGTTCTAGCTGCAGTAATGAATATATCTTACTTTTTATTCCATCACATGGACCTCATCTTCCAAGTAGAAACAGAAATGTGAATGCTAAATCTCTATGAATCTGTCAAGATACAAAAGATCTTTGGGTATTAATAAGATTTAACACTTTAAAACTTGTGCAGTAGTCACTGTATAGTCAACTACATGCTAGAGATAATTTGCACTTTTTGCAGGCAGCAGTGGCTTTAAAGGCTTATTGCTATGTAATGCCCTCAAGTTGACATCTTAAATGCTGGCTGCTAAGCAAGTCAACAAAGGTAGAGCAAATGATTTAGCCGAGACTAGTGGTTTCATTACAGCCTTGTTCTTGTTTATCACGCATGCTACATTGGTAGGTGGTAGTATGTAGATGACAAAATTAGAAAAAAACCCAAATTCTTCATCCTTA